GCACTGTAGTGCTGAATTTCAGCAAAAAAAAAAAGCCAAAAAAGGCATTTTCTAGAGACGAAATAGTGCAACGGTGAACAATCGCGGAGGCTTATTGTTGTACGCCACCTATATAGGGACCCTATTGTGTGCCTATTCTAGCTGCCATCTGCCGGCAACCTTATTGTGTAAATTGATCATTTTACAGGCTTACGAATTAAGAGCTTAGAATTCTATCGAGGCAGCGTCCTTTAGATGGGAACCATGCTCTTTCTTCTCGCTGTCCGTGTGGTCTGTACTGCTGGCTGAAGTTTGAGGAGACCTCACATTCGTAGCACTGTCGGCCATCTGAAAAAGATATTCATATGCACGAATGAAATCACGCTATTGACTAAGCTTATGAATGACCTGCATGGCCACACTGCCCTATGCCACCTAGACATTTACTTAACGGATTTTGCCAGTAACGCTAGACAGAAATAGACGGAGGCGAAAGAGAGAATACAGTCTCACATATAAATAAAAAAAATAGTATAGAGACAAAAAACAGAACACACTCTTGTAAAAGCAGCGAGTGAAAGACTAAGAAAGCCAGAATTACAAGTTATTTATAATTTTTCTTGCACATTACCTGATGTTTGTATTTGTTGGGCTTTCCTATACCAAACCTACGAAAATAAATAACAGTCATTAATAATTTACCGTGAAAAAATTGCAACCCAAGGTCATGGTCAGAGCATGACTCACTGTCCGACCCACTTGTTAACAATAATCTGTTATCTACAGATCGACTGCCCTCGTGGCATCCTTGCTCTGCGACTGTGCGCGAGTCTTTGCGCCTGTACGTGCGGTACCTCGCGAATTTATACATGCAATAAATCCATCGCCCCACGCGTGCGCTCAGGGTCGATGCTTACCTATACTCGCAGTCATCAGTGTAAACGCACTACACACGGTTCATAGAACGGTTCATAGAGCATTGGCATGTTTGTCCAATTCGCCAATTCGCCAATTCGCCAACACAAAGTTGGCCTTGTAAACCCAGCTTATCGTAACTTCAGCATAGCACTTCACTTCAAAAGTTAGTTCAGATTTTAGACCCATGGGGCATGTCTACTTAGGCTCGTAGGGTCTATGTCCCCCTGACCTCTGTTTGACCTGGCTCGTTTAGCTATTTCTGACTAACCCTAACCCTAACCCTAACTCTATATATATTATATATTATATAATATATATATATATATATATATATTAGTCAGAAATAGCTTACGAGCCAGGTCAAACAGAGGTCAGCTAGGGGGACTGCTCTACTTAGGGTCTTTCGGCTGCCAGTCCTAACAAAAATAGACTGCCCATTATGCAAATTCGTGAAATCATTAGATTGGTAGTAAACAATTAGTGTTACTGTTCATACGATATATATTATGATATATTATGTGCTCTGGTTTTACTCTTAACGTTTACAGCAGAAAGACTAAGTTAAGAGCCGCCAGGTAACGCCACGTACTTGGGTAGGCCTCGGTTGAGGCCCTCGAGGAGTACGCACGCCTTGCAGACAGCTGAACTGGAGATGTAGCCACAGCGGCAGCAGGTGCCCTGCGTGGGCATGCGCACATCCTTCTTTACCTCGAACCTCTCCGCTGAGTGTATGATGTCTGCAGAGAGAGAGGGAGGGGGTGAGAGAGAGTCTCTCTCTCTCTCTCTCTGAGAGAGGAGGGAGGGAGGGAGGAGAGAGAGAGAGAGAGAGAGAGAGAGAGAGAGAGAGAGAGAGAGAGAGAGAGAGAGAGAGAGAGAGAGAGAGAGAGAGAGAGAGAGAGAGAGAGAGAGAGAGAGAGAGAGAGAGAGAGAGAGAGAGAGAGAGAGAGAGAGAGAGAGATGGTAATATAGGCTTAGGCCACATGCTACAAGTCAAATCAACCTTGTGGCAACAAGTCATGGGCTATAGTACTAAAGCTAGTTTAAAAGGTACAGTCGATGTTCCAACAGACTGGACTCAAGCCGACCCGGAGGCCTGAAGCCACCAAGTTTTTGCTTAGGCAACCATCTCTACGAAACTGCCGGTCCTTCTGACCAGCACTTTTTCCCCTCATATTACTTTGAAATACTACGGTTATCGCAATGGCAGTTTAGGCGTATTCTAATAATGCGCTCCGTTCCTGAACGTAGATGGGGTATCCAAAACATCTAGAGCCGAGGGCCAGAACTCCCTCAATGCATGAATCGCCACACGAACAATACCTCGCGACACTCTAAGAAATCGATTGCGTCATGTAGCGTAGCCCAGTGTTTTATGACCGCATAATAATAAGTTCAGGAGATAAGTTCTTATGTCGCAGGGGTTATCGTGGGGAGTGAGGGCACTGCAGATTACAGCCCAGTTAATTACTGCAGTACAGAATGTTCAGAATCAACCGAGCTAAATTTCTCAGAAGTGTCTGCAATCACAAATACATACACATCTTCGCATAACTGAAATTTATAAATCGATATTAAATTTGATCCATTTTAATATATTACTGTATTATGAGTGTGTATATTACTGTGTGAACGACCCTACTACACAGTTCCGTAAAGCCGGGCTCCGGTCGCCCTACGACCCGTCTAATTTATCGCCTATTGACGTCGTAATAAAACTCATGTCGATTTGAGGTGATTTTGGGCTGTACATCGCCGATCAGTATTTATAGCACCGACCAGATCGTAGCATTCTGCAGGAAACGTAGACTGGTTCGCGTCCCCAGTGTTTATACCAGCACAAGCAGTTCTCTAGCACAAACAGAGCAAGCTTGACACCGGGACCAGTCTACATAAAATGAGTACTCTTTATAGATTTAAATCAAACCTGTAAATACTGTGAATAAAATTTAAAATTCACAAAGCCATTGGACAGACACTTACACATGTGGCTACACAACTGAGTTTGACACACAAGGAATATCGACTGGGAACACGAGCAACTGCTTGTGTTGCTTAGCCATGTGCCATCTTTGAATGACATCACCTTTGTCACCACCGACCCTGAAGACACCATTGCTGCTCTGCGAAACCTGTTAGCTCTCCCATCACATTGGGCTAGCCATTTGGACAAAGTACTGCAGTCCCTGGATTGTCGTTACGCAGGGCCACGTATCTTGTTCACAATGAATCCATCACGTGTTTTTAGCTCATCTGACGTAGTCGGGTGCAGCTTGTAGAATCACATGATTGTCCGTCCGGCCGTCCGTGCGTCCGTGCGTTCGTCAACAGTTGGGCACAAATCTTAACCGCTCGACGTACGGTCACGATATTCGGGACGTAGGGGGGTAATCCGAAAACGAGTTGGGATGTCGAAGCTGGGGGTCAAAGGTCAAAGGTCAAGAGGTGTAAAAGAAGGGGGAACATTCCCTCCTTAACTTAAGGTATAGGGAGGAAATGCAGAATTGCGGTACAAATCTAAACTGCTCGACCTAGGCTCGTGATAGTCGGTGTATAGCATCATTATAGGAAAAGCCATCACTGTGCCGAAATTGGAGGTCACAGGTCAAGGGTCAATGGGGCACAGGGCAGATTTGAGACATTTTCTGAGGACATGGTCTGACAATGCGATTGAAAAACTTTTTTTGTTTCAGTAGTGACCTACCATTTTTATGGCTTTATTAGCTCATCTGACATAGTCAGATGCCAGCTTGTAGAGCACGATTCGTCCGTCGGCGTCCGTCCGTGCGTCCGTCCGTGCGTCGTCCGTCGCGTCCGGCCGATCCGTGCGGTCAACAGTTGGGCACAAATCTTAACCGCTCGACGTACGCGTCACGATATTCGGCGACGTCGGGGGGATCGTCAAACGAGTTGGATATCGAAGCGTGGGGTCAAAGGTCAAAGGTAAGAGGTGTAAAAGAAGGGGGAACATTCACTCCTTAACTTAAGGTATAGGGAGGAAATGAGAAATTGCGGCACAAATCTAAACGGCTTGACCTAGGCTCGTGATAGTCGGTGTATAGCATCATGTAGGAAAAGCCATCACGTGTGCCGAAATTGAGGTCACAGGTCAAAGGTCAGTGGGCACAGGGCAGATTTTAGACATTTTCTGAGGACATGGGCTGACGGAGCGATGGAAAAACTTTTTGTTTCAGCGGTGACCTAGCATTTTATGGCTTTATTGAAAGGACCATGAAATGTCCCTTCTGCTGACGTGGCGAAGAGTAAGTGTCGGATAACCTTTTGACCCTCAAGAGGAGGGGTTAAACTTGGATTTGTTGACTGTCTGTTAGAAAGAATTGACTGCCGGTTTGCTAGTAGAATCTATACATGCCTGGATGTATAGAGGCTACAATGTCACAGTGAAATTTCAAAGCTAAATTTGGTTAAAGAAGGTGTATATTCCTTAAATCGTATAATTTCTATGTCATTCTGTACTGTCAGTATGTTACATGTAACGTATGGCACTGCCAGTGGCTGTGCATGTGTTGGGGCAGTTTTTGCCTGCATTAATTGGTTGCAGCTGGCAGCTCTCTATTGCAATTTGCAGCCTGTAGGCTTGCGTAGGTAAATGGATGAGTGCTTACCTAGATTCTGTCTTGCAAATAGTTGTTGCTACTACGAATGATGGGAGCTTGCATCTTTAATCTGAAGACACTTAAACGTACGCGCCATTCTCGTGCAACTTTCATAACACTCCAACGAACATTCTTTTGAGAAGGTTCCTGATAATCCCTGTGCATTCCACTGTTTCGCGTGTATGTGAACACATTTGGACTAACAGGGTTTACTAGAATCCCTTCACTCCACCACAGAGTCACCGCAGTAGACGTTAGATGAGCGCTGTCGCTATGCGGCACTTGTTGAAAGGACCATGAAATGTACTTTCCGCTGACATGCAAAGAGTAAGGTGCGGATAACCTTTGACGCCTCAGAGGAGGGTTTAAACATGGATTTGCTTTACTGTTAGAAAGAATTTGACTGCCGGGTTTGCTAGTAGAATCTATACATGCCTGGACGTATGAGGCTACAATATCACATTGAAATTTCAAAAGCTAAATTTGGTTGAAGAAGGTTTATGCTCCTTAAATCGTATAATTTCTATGGCATTCTGTACTGTCAGTGTGTTACATGTGGCCAGTGGCCACTGCCAGTGCATGTGGTGGTGATAGTACTGTGTAGTTTTTTGTTTTTTGCCTGCGTAATTAGTTACAGGTGGCAGCTCTCTATTTCAGCCTGTAAGCTTGCGTAGGTAAATGGATGAGTGGCTTACCTATTCTGTCTTGCAAATAGTTGTTGCTACTACGTACGATGGGAGCTTCCATCTTTAATCTTCAAGCCCGGCGCACACGTGAGTTATTTTACTCATGTAAAATGACGCATGCGTCAAATTATCAACGAAATCCGCGCACACGTGAGTAAAATTACTCGTGCGTCATTTTACTTTGAGTAAAATAACTCACGTGTGCGCCGGGCTTAAGACACTTAAACGTACGCGCCATCTCGTAGCAACTTTCATAACGATCCCAACGAACATTCCTTCGAGAAGGTTCCTGTTACCATCCTGTGCCTTGCACTGTTTGTGCGCGTATGTCGAACACATTTGGAACTAACAGGGTTTACTAGAATCCCAACACTCCACCAGTGAGTCACCGCAGTAGACGTGAGATGAGCGCTATCGCTCCGCGGCACTTGTTTATAATAAAGTTGAACATTAGGTTACTCAGTTACATGTATGCTGTTAATGGTTATTGTATCCCCCGCGACGAAGTCGGCGGGGATACTATGGTTTCATGTCTCCCCAGCCGCCGCAGACAATTTCCCTTCTGCTCTATAACTCGACCCCTAATTGACCTAGCGCTACCAAACTTGGTATACTTACACATCTTGGGGAGAAGGTGAACAGCGTACCAAAACCAGTTTACTGCGACCTTTATTTGACCTTTACCTTGACCTTGATCATATTTCCCTTCTGCTCTCTAACTCGGCTCCTAATTGACCTAGTGCTACCAAACTTGGTATACTTACACATCTTGGGGAGAAGGTGTGTCGCGTACCAAAACCAGGTCACTGCAGCTTTTATTTGACCTTGACCTTGACCTTGATCATATTTCCCTTCCGCTCTATAATTCGGCCCCTAATTGACCTAGTGCGACCAAACTTGGTATACTTACACATCTTGGGGAGAAGGTGTGCCGCGTACCGAAATCAGGTCACTGCAACCTTTATTTGACATTGACCTTGACCTTGACCTTCATCATATTTCCCTTCTGCTCTATAACTCGGCCCCTAATTGACCTAGTGCGACCAAACTGCGTATACTTACACATCTTGGGGAGAACACGGGGGATACATGTAATTGGCGGCGACTGCCCTTTCTAGATTTATATACCATTTTGTTATTGAGATTCACGGTGATAATAGTGGTGCATATGTGAAGTGGATGTTTATTCTTTTAAGTGTGCCCAGGAGTTTTGTAATATGTTTATTGAGATTCACGGTGATATTAGTCGTGCATATGTGAAGTGGGTGGTTATTCTTTTAAGTGTGCTCAGGAGTTCTATAATATATTGATTGAGATAAGTTACAAAGACCCAAGTTGCCATACAAATTATGTATATCTTTATTTCTAAAACGCGGCCATTTACTACAGACACTAGGCATTACTGCTGGCAATAGCTCGCTTAAAGTTCGAAATCATGAAGCACACCTTGACAATTCTTCCACCGAGAGAAATTTTCTGATGGGGCAGGTCTCTTTTTTATATTTTAAATGTCTTGCTTGGAGCAATGACCCTCTACAGTTTACACTACTCCTCTTGGATGCGATACGTCTATCCAAAACAACTGTCTCTGCATGAAGTTAGGATTTTCCTTTGAGCATTGACGGCGTGCTCCACCATAGTTATCACTGACATAAGTAACAAGGTCTGCGTCACCTAATGTATACATGCCCCAACTTGGGTAACTCGCGGTTCTAGTACCTACCGAGATGTTTGATTTGTTCTGATATGTTGATCAAAATAGTCGCAACAAACCGATCGCCGGTGGTTATAAACTTACGCGACTAGCGGTTCTAGTACCTAGAGACATCTGGCTATTTATTCGATTATATTAACAGACATAGAGCAAAACTTATATATTGGGTTAAAGGGAGAATAGTACTATCAGGAGCTCTTAAAGTTAGGTATAAATATGTTTGATTAAAAACGATGATTGTTCTGATATGTTGATCAAAATATAGGATCGGCTATGTGTGATCGTATGGTTACATCTGCCATGGGTTATTGTGCAACTGGCTCTACAACTGCTGCTCCCGCTGCGCCACTTGCTGACAAAGCTAGCGGCTAACCCCATTCGTCTTCGTGCATTGAGCACTTGAAGTAGCTTTACATGTTTATTTATAAAACTACTTGTATGACAATGTATGTGATTGATGTAAGAATTTGTCAGTGTGTGCAAGTAGGGATTCTAGCTCATTGTAATATGTGAAAACCTGATGGATGTGCATAGTTAGTTAAATTTCGCAGTAGTGTGTGATCACTGTATGTCATTTTTAGCTCGCCTTGACATCGTCAAGATGAGCTATTTGCCATGGGCGTTGTCCGTCATCCGTCTGTCTGTCCGTCCGTCAACATTTGGCTACGGTCAACGATAACTTGAGAACCGTTTGACCCATATCTTTCAAATTGCATACAGTTGTTACTCCTATGGGAGAGATGTGAACGTCCTATTTTGGAGCACGCCAGTTGACCTACTTTCGAGCCACGCCCACTTTTTGGCAAAAATGGAAATGGCCATAAGTCAGTTCAGGTTCAACGGATTTTGCTCATTTTTGGTATGTGAATGAATAAGGACTGGCCCCAAATTATATCACACTGGTTTTTATATTTTTGTTATATTATGCAAATTAGGTAGATTTTGGCAATTTCACTATGCATTTCAGTGTCTGCCTACGGTCAACGATAACTCAAGAACCGTTTGACCCACATGTTTCAAATTGCATACAGTTGTTACTCCTATGGGAGAGATTTGAACGTTCTATTTTGGAGCACGCCAGTTGACCTACTTTCGAGCCACGCCTACTCTTTGGAAAAAATGGAAATGGCCATAAGTCAGTTCAGGTTCAACGGATTTTGCTAATTTTTTGTATGTGTATAAATAAGGACTGGCCACAGACACCAAAACATATCACAGGGGTTTCGATATTTTGTAAAAATTATGCAAATTACAGGCTTTCCAGCGGCCCTAAAATTCCTAAAAATTCCTA